AGAGACAGACAGACAGAGAGGGAGCATGTGCTCCACTAATTTTACTCATAAAAGTAACACACAGCAACATGTTCACCAACCTGGATTTCCACATCTAAGGTTGCCACGGGAAGCAGACACAACAACACCTAACAACCGTTTATTAGTTTAATTCTTTACAGATGGCATGTTTGTGAATAGATTGTTTGACTTCTTGTTACAACTTAAATTTTCCAATGCAGTTCATCTATCGCCGTCATACTTGTAGTGCCACCTTGATATACAAAGCCTTAAATTGTGCGTAAGAGACTCTGCTGTACTTTCAAAGTCAAAATTTAATTGTGGAGCTGCTGAAACACAATCACCCAATGACAGGTTTTGTTTATGTTTTGAGTCACAGAAATGATTGACATTGTCTTTTGTGTTATGTATAGAAGTTTTGTGATTATTTTCTATTCCTGTATTTTACTATAATTGTACTTTTAAAGAATGACACCCGGTATAACTTTAAGATCTGTGTTGCAGAAGGTGCTGGCTCCGACAGCCTTGGCTCAGATGGAAACATTCTTAAAGTATCACATTGCTATTATTGGAATGAAAATATCCCCCCTCCATTTTGGGAGGCTCCAATTCCAACGTCCCATCCCACATGATTCTTTAACAATAATGTTTTGCTGGTCTAGTATTTCAACAAGGAAGATCTCAGCCTCTTTCCTGGAATGAGAGGAAGAGTGGAAAACACACCTCTCTCAAAAAAATGGCTTTTGCTTTTGTAAAGTGAAATTTAAGCACTCATTGTACGTCAGACTGGATTAGAATATCAGAAAAAAGGTCCGAATCTAAATATAAAATATAAGTATCAGTCACACATGTATAGCGATGAAGCTGACACTTAGGAGCAAAGTTCTAGCTATTTTCTTTGCTTTCAAAAAACCCTTGACGAGAGTAACTGTTCCATCTTGGGCCCATAAAAGCAGAGGGCCTACCAGGGAGCAAAGATGGCATGCAGCAGTTTGCAATCACCATCACTCTGCTTCCATGACACAAACGGGAGACTTCCACCCAGCAAGCCTTTGATTAAAAGCAGAACATCAAATCTCATCTTTGTGCCAATGCCACACGCGGCATGCAGGCGAGGTTGTGCAGAGCAGCAGGTGTGTAGTACATTGCTTATGTTTGTTTGTCTGTGCATATGAGGTTGTCATGGACACAGATGAGGAACAAGAGTCTTGAGGGACCAAAAGCATAATATCTATTGTGATATAAGATGACATTTAAATTACATGTAAATTACTTATTTTCAGCAAGAGGCCATGAGTTCACCATAGTTTTATCTGTTCAAATATACTGGTGGAAATAATTCACATAAAACATTATTGGGTACATACTGGTGGTGGTAGAGCAATCTATAATAATATGTTCTCTATTACTGACACATTTAATTAAATATTGTGCTTTGTTGTTACATTTATTTGAGCAAATTCAAAAGCTACTTACTATTTTGACTCGGAAGGCATTCAGCTCTTAAGTTATTTTCCACTTAATGGTTGACTATGAACTTTAACAATGAAATCAAATTATAATTAACTGTACAAATATGACAGATGTTCCTTTGTAAAAAAAAAAAAAAAGTTTTTTGCCATTTCAGTTTTCCTTTCAAGTTGCACATTTCAAAAATGAATGTGGAGGATTGTGTTGCAACACATTGTGTAATAAACAACAGCCTGTATTGTCAGACTATTGTTGTTAATGTATTGTCATGTATTATTGTGCAAACACTCACACCAGCACACTCACTCACTGCTTCTGCTGCTAACACTGGATTTTAATGGCTGAAATACCAAGTTGATACTCTGCATGCAGTCATGTTTTAATTACTGCACATACTGTATGCAATTACTTCAATTATTATAAGAATTGTAATTCCTTAGTCTTTAAATTATCTGTGTTATATGAGTGTGTATAACCCACAGATTGGCAGGTACTCATACATAAGTCATCAAACTTTTATGCAAGTTAATCAAGCTGACCTTAAAACATTCCATGAAACTTTAAATAAATGTGTTTTCTTCCAGTCTGACTCATACCGCATCCTGACAAACTCTGGGGTTTCAGATATTGAACAGACCCCTTGTTGATCAGAGCTTCTGAGGAGCAAGCAGGGGAGAGCATGCAGAACAGACACCCACCGTTAGTTAATGCGTACATCCTGTTGAGAAGGCGGGTCGCCCTGGAGACCAGACGTAGGTATCCTAGCAGGAGTGCAGGGAAGATGCGTATTTGCCCTGTGAGCCCCTTGTCAGGCAAGAACTGTTTGTGTGTATCATGTTATTGAGTTGGAGAAAACATGCAGGGGCATGTCTGACTGGCTCCTCTAGGCTGTGATGGTTTTCTAGACAGAGTCTATTGAGGTGGCAGCCTACAGGTGTGAGACTGTGTTCTGAGAGTCGATGGTTTAAATCTCCAACCTATATAGGATGGTAGTGGGAAAAGCTGAATTAAGTAAATACCCTTATCCATCCTTAAGAACTCATATTGAGGTGAGCAAGGCACTTGAATTCAAAACTATCTCAGAGGAGCTACTGCCCAGTAGTTTAAAACTGATGACGTATACCTGCAGGCTATCAAATGGATAAATAAAGTGCTTTATTAGTCCCATTGGGAAATTCTGTAAGCATTGCATCAACATGAAGCAGGTTGAAGTGTCAGAGCTCAGTTAACCTTACAATTAAAGGTTTCATCCTTATCAGTGCCTTGATTGCAGTTGTTTTGGTAGTAAAAGAGCAAAATATATGCATGGAAAACACTGTTGCTCAAACTGACTGTACAGCTTATTAAATAGGACGATCCCTAATTCGTTTTCTTAAATTTACCTCTTTCATTTCATACCCTTCTTTAACCTTAGCTTTAACTTTAGTTAAATATTGAAGTTTAACATGTGAAACTGCATTGTACCAACAACAGCCTCACGTCCAGTATCTACCTAGAAAATGGTTTACTGGCGCCATCCAGAGGTCGTTCATTGACAGTGACACAAGCGTCTGAAAATCTTGCAGGTGTAGTCTTTATTTCTCAAAATACTGAAGTAGCAATGACTACAACATTACATTGAAAAACCATGTCAAGTTCCTATATCAAATTATGTTACATTGATACACATTACAACAATGTCATGGAAGCAAACTGTCATTAACAATTAATTCTGCTGTTCACACTAGAAAAAATGTTTAATTTCACCAAACAGAATGCATTTATTAATTAACAACATAAATTCATAACACATCCACATTCAAACAGCTGTTTATACCATTAATGCAAATTATTTTCTGATATCTCATCCAAATATACTTTTTTCTGTCTGGACTTGTGGCAATCAGTGAAAATCATGAAAAATGTCATAGTTGTTATAAAGCTCCTTAAAATGTACTACTACATTGTAGTAAGATTCTAAAAAGAAAATTATGTTAAATTTCATCCATCCTACATCCTCCTACAAAGGCAGCCATTTATGTATCAGCAACTGACATATATGATCTGGACCCAGAAAAACTGCTGAAACCATGGCTGTTTACAGAGTTTTCACTTCCCTCCCAAGCTTTCCTCACTTCCTCTCCAACTTCACTGACTCCCCTGCAGCTGCCTTTGACTTCCTTCTTGTTTTTAGGAGCCGGTGTAAGACAAAGATGCTACCAAGTACACTTACAAGAAGAAATACGAATATGACATACAGTGCAACTTTAGCATCATTAGGTGAAATCTCCAGACCCAAGAAGTCCACCATGTTCAGAGGCAGAACAGGGACAGTAGTATGTGTGTTCTCTAGTGTGGTCGTAGTGGCAGCGCTTGTAGCTGTTGAAAGAGAGGAATAAGAAACAAGGAAAAAAATAATTATTTAGTCATAATTCATTTTGCATTCAGAACAGATCTAGCATCTGTTTAAATAAATAGTTTTTGTTTTCATAGTGTATGATCTGCATGCTACTGCAAGTGAGTTTCCACACTCTCCGGAATTAAAATCAAGGCAGTTTCCCAGTCCTAAATCTTACAATAATAACATTGTTTTTGAATCTGTGGACTAAGCATTACATTACCTTCGGGTTCAGGGTTCAAACACTCATGGGTCCCAAGAACTGGATCTGGGAAACCATTGCAGGCGATGATGGAGGCGTACCGAGAAGCTGATTTTTTAGCAATGCGAGGAAGGGCGGGGTTTGAGCGGTTCACAAAGAAAAGTCCAAATCGCTCGGAGTAGCCAGCAGCCCACTCAAATTTGTCCATTAATGACCAGGCTGTATAGCCTCTCAGATCAACTCCATCCAGAACTTGGGCTGAAAGAACAACAGTAACGGCAACATTTAACATGCATGTGCAAAAAACTGACTTAATTAGACTGTAGGGTAATGTTGTGGTCAGGTTTCCCATGATAATAACAATTTATTACTTATTGACTGTGAATCTAAAAGGTTTCAGATGTATGTAAAATAAGGCATGAGAAATTTTGTGTCAAATAGTTGGTTTTTATTGGCTGTGGTACCTTTCAGAGCCTGGTTAATGTAATTTTCGTAGTAGTGCGTTCTGTGGATGTCATTCAAGTCCACTGCTCCTCGTTCTGAGATCCCGTTCTCTGTGACATAGACAGGTGGGTTTCCATACTCATCCTTGATAAACTTTAGGAGTTTCCTAAATCCAAAGGGGGTAATCTTTAGCCAGAAGGAACCAGATTCAATCCAGGTGCGGTCGTGTGTGGCTCCAGTGCCCCTGGAAATTGGATTGGACATTAACCCAGCATTAGTCAAATATGAAATCTATATTTCGGCATATACTTAATGAGTCATTTTAACAGGCAGCTGAATGACATTGACTATGACATTTATTTGTGGGTTTAATTCCCTTCTGTGTCACCAATCTTCTTCTCCGGTGCTGTATGGTAGAAAAAAAGGCATCTGTGCTATCTAGGTTTTATCTTTAAATTCCAACCTACCTGTCACCTTCATAATCCTGCTGATTTCCCATATCAATTGGGAATGAAAGAACCGATGTGTAGTGGTTTAAGCCAAAGTAATCATGAGTTCCTTTTATCCTCTTGATTTCCTCAGGAGTGAACTCAGGAAGACTATATTAAAAGAGGAAGAAGAGTCTTTTAAAAAACCCAATCCAGGACCAAAAACATGAAAGATCTACTTTAATAGTCACCTGCTTTGTCATGGTATACTACTACTACTACTACTACTACTAATTATAATAATAATGATAATAATATATACATAATTGCATGCCCTATTTATACAAATAAGATAAGATGAGGTAAGATAAGATAGATACTACTACTACTACTACTAATAATAATAATAATAATTTAGTGAAATAGAAAATGAAAAGCATAAAAGCATAGGCTTATGCAGAATGCTTTGTTGTACTGTTTGCCGTTTTTATAAGGGTTTTGTTTTCAGTTTTACCTTTATTTTTTATTTTTTGAAGAATATATTTAAAAGTCCAGTCAACCCTGTCTCTCATTATTTTCAATTTTTAATGTAAATGTTGATTTTTTTTTTTTTTTGCCTATAGATGAATAATCTCCTTGAACAAAACCAGAATCCTGGACTTGATCATATCTAAAGTTCTACAGTCACCTAATGTATACAGTTTGAATACATTTATGGACTTTTCACTAATAAGTTTGAACTAAAGGGCATTCCCAAAGCATTTACATACATGTTCCTTCAGATCCTTTACATTTCCAACAATCAATCTTACATCTGAGCTTATAAGTCTTAACATTTTAAATGGGGTTCAATAGAAAAACTATTTACTATCTTAAAGGGAATCAATCTAGGCTAATCTGTTTTCCTTTATTGTCATACATAATAGAAATGTTTAACAAAAAGATGAGGAAAGGGGATACAATTCTAAAAATACACAGTAATTAGAGAGTGGTGAACTATGTATTTAATAAATATATTTCATTGTCTTTGCCGCTTTTACTTTGAAAGCAAGCTCACAAGCTCCTAATCAGGTGAACTCCTTCAGCTTTACTGTAACAATGGAGTGAATTCCTCACAGAAGATACTCAGAAGAGCAAAAACACTACAGTAACAGTAACAGAGTTCTGGGGTGTTTATCTTTGTATTTTAAGCCCACGATGAATGCAGAAAACAGTCTGAAAATAAATATTTGAATATTGATTATAAATCATTTATTGTTTTCCCATCCTGTCCACTTAACAGATCCACTAATTATGGGTTGGAAAACTAAGCACTGTCTGTATGAAAAGTTCAACTATCTCTGGGTTACGTTGTGGTAATTCCTGATGCATGCAAAGAATTTGGGAATTTGTAGTTTTTACATGTAGTGTAGATTACTGCATTATCAGAGACTGGTTGACAAGAATGTCTATGCTTTTCTCCAAATGTCAAATGTCACACTGAAAAGAAATCCCCTAATAACCAGAGAATGAGAGTGAGAAAGAAGTTCTTTATGTGGCACACATGGTCCACTATTTCCCTGTGATCGAATTCTAAATGACTGTTAAATGCTGGCACAAGAATGAGCTCCTAAATAAAAGACTTTTGTCTATAAAACCTCACCAGTCAGTTCAACACAGCGCTGCTGCAGAGGTGATTCTTCAGCGGGATGTTTTAAAATCTGCGAGACACTATCGCTCAACAGGGTTGCTTAAAAACAATTCTGCTCAGTTTTCATTTCCTGGTTCACTCAGCACATTAAATGGACCATAGAGCTGAGGATCCATCAGTATTAAATACTGTCAAGAAGATGAGTAGTCTCCTCTCAGAGTGCATTGACTCCAAACATAAGGCACGGCAATAAAAAGTCAAAGAAGTGTTTCAATACACCTGAATACTGTAATGGTTGGTGTGTGTGTGTGTGTGTGTGTGTGTGTGTGTGTGTGTGTGATGACTACCTCACAACGCAGGAACACCCAATGATCCAGAGAGAGGAAACACTTCTGCTCTGATGTAAATCACATCACCTGACTACTGACTCGATGCATTTTAGCTCCTAAAGTTAGTCATTCCAACTGCAATGCAAGGATTCATTGAACACTTAATTTTTACCTTAAATTTCATCATTAAATCTCATTAAATTAAAAATCTAATCACATTTATTGGCAGAATTTTACATTAATTAGTCTTTTTATGTGTTTTAATTGTATGTTAATTACATGAGTTTGTATAGATCAGAGCTGGGCACCAGATTGTTTAGCAAAAAATTAATTAATTAATAAATCGCTCTTTAAATATGTATCTAATTATTAATTTAGATGAAAAATCCCTTTAATTGACAGTGTCACTGTACCTGCCATGCCCAGATAATGAAAACTAAATAAAATATGATGGATGTTTGCTTTTGGCTCCTGGTTCATCATAAAGTTTCATCATAAATATTTTAGGCACCCCTGTTATAGATGGAGCAACTGCTGTTCAATTTGATATCATATTAGTGATTAGAGGTTGGAAGGGCTAACTACACTGCCAATAGATGAAGTGTATACATTAAAAGTATAGTCAATAAACAGTATTGTAACATTATAGTAAGAAAAAGCACTTAAACACACACTGTAAAACCAGATGTTAATTTTGTTTTGTAAACACTGTTTATTAGTTTTTTTTAATCAGTGCAAATAAGGACAAACAAGGACAAGAACATTGTCTCCAACCCCCAACCACACTTTCCCAAATCCTTCCCAAAAGCTCCAAAAACAGGACAGAAAACTAACAATAATGTCACACAAGCAAGACAAAATAACAGTACCAAAATAAATATACGTACAGATACAAGTTTTTAAAAGAAGGATAAATAAAACATACATTAAAAACAACAACAAAAAACTCCAGATAAGTTAATTTACCTCAAAACATTGTTGAAACTGATTACATCAAAATCTTTAAGTA